AAAATCATTGTTAGCTGCAGCCCTTATGTTAAATAAACCAGACTGGCTCTAGATTAGTGTAGATGTTTCTTGTCTCTTCAGTTCTGAAGCACTTTTTGATATAAACTCAGGTTGCCAATTTATTAGGTACACCTAGCTTAAGCGAATGCAGTCTAATTCAACAGTCTTGCAATAAATTCAAACCTTCATGATGCTGTTGTTTACTTGAAATCATGGATCCAGTAAAATCACCATGAATATTCATGGTAAACCTGCCACAGTTGTCATAGTAAACTTCACATAATCTGTGAGGGAATGTAGCTCAACAGTAAGGTTACAGTAGTAAAAATCCCATTTGTGTTCTGTATGGGGATTTTGAAAATGAGCCATAATTTCATAAACATTAGACTCACCACTACCTACGAGATTGTGATAAGATAGTATATGCTCCTGTAGAAGCTTCAAGCCTGTAAGATATCAACCTTGTTTTAAGAAGCCTGTTTTTTTTGGTGGTGTGATCGTTTACATTACATTTACCACAGAGCAGCCATGATTTCCCTCTCTGACATGAACAGTGTCCTAAGGGGTGAAGATTACTAGAGATCCACATGCACTGGAGTGCAGTGTAGGGACACTGATTGCAGTCAGGAACAAGGCACTGTAGCATGTCGATGACAACACAAACTAACAGTAAAATAACTGTAAATGAGCCAGAGTTAGCTCAACAGGCTAATTTTCATCTGTTGTCCCTGGCCAGTTATTATGAAGGCAACCTAAAATGAAGATTTAAAATTACATAAAATGACTTATTACAGTCCACAAGTAATAACAATATATACAATATAAGAGTAATAAGACAGATACAACACACAACAATAAGTAACAAACAACATATCAGCACACAACATAGGCAAAACATAATGAGAGATTAAAAAGACTGACAAAAGACAATCTGCAAACAAGCAACAAATCTCAATAGGCAGTCAGTAGTCTAATGTGCACATATCTGATTATCAATTAGCCAGTTCTTAAGCTGACCAGTAAAAGAACGACAAGTATTTGCTTCTCTTATCAGCATTGGCAATAGATTCCATTGTTTAGATGCTGTTACAGAGAACGCTGACTGACTATGGGAATGATACAATGTGCCTGCTCTTTGCATAACAAACCTCTTCAGTGGAGGTGGGGCAGTGCTATGCAATATCTTATAAACTAGACAAAGGTTACTATAAGTGATCAAGTTTTCCCAACTCAGAAGTCTATGGGTATTTAAGATTTGACAGGTGTGAAAACTATTAGGTTTCTGAACTAAAACTTTGATAGTATGTTTATAAAGACTTTCGAGTGACTTCATTGTGGATTTGTTAGCCTGTGCCCAGCTTGTCAAACAATATGTAAAATGCGGGATAATCATGGCATTCATATATATCATAGCAGTTTCAAAGCTGAGTGATTCCCTAACAAATCAAATTACTTTACGTGAGTTCTAAAACAGAGATTCGAATCAATCCAGACACCCAGATACTTGTATTCAGTCACAACTTGCAAATTTTGACCTGATACTATGACTGCGTCTGGAGTGCTACATGGTCGCTTTGAAAAGAACATGCTAACCGTTTTACAAACGTAAGACATGATCTGTCAAGCCATGTTGTGATATAGTTCATTGCACTGGTCAGTTTTGAAGCAGCTTGGTTGGAAGTCTTTGGAAAAGGTATCATTTGCAATGGTTCATGGGATGAGTAGTTCCTTCACTCATTTAAATAATTGTTATGTACACAGTCTTGTACCTTTTCCTAACAGTTTTATGATGCCTTCATTCCAGTCTTACATGACACACCTTTAAACTATTATCAGATATACTGAGACCTACTGACGACAGCTGTCAACACACCAGGAAAGGCTTTCTTTGTTTTATTCCAAGAATTATAAAAGGTAGAGGTGTTTCCCATTCCAGTAAAAGTAAAGAATATGGAGCAGACGCTGACATTTTTAGAGGAATCCTTGCTGTAAATAAACAGTGAAGGGAAGGGGCTTAGAGGGGAGGAGGTGAGCAGGGAGGGAGGGAGGCTCTTTTATTGCAACAGTTGATTGTTCTCAGAGTCAAAACAACGCATGCTCAAGCCGCTGTAGACTGGCATTGTAATAACAAACAATCCTTATTTTTTGCCATGGAGGTTTATACAATCTGAATTGTCAGGCAGTGGAAAAGCGAGAGCCCGGCCGCAGCCCAAGTGGGTGCAAGTATCTGCCTGCACAACGCGGGATCGCAATAACAGGAACCACAGAGTGGCTCCTGCAGCGCTGCAGATAAGGGCCACGCTGAATGAAGACTGAAGACCTGAGGCAGTTCAAGCTGCCTCATTAAAAAGTTCCAGTAATGAATGATGCCGATAATATTCAGCTATTCAAGACAAAATACAGCTGGAATCTGAGAGGACAAAGCCAACATGTTCTGTACATGACACATCAAAACGCCAACCTTTAGCACCGTCCTGTGTGCATCATAAAACCACTTCTTATTCAGTAACAGACAATGCCAGGACTAATGATGACATGTTGACGAGACTCATTCATCTCACTAATTGACAGCGATTTTCTCCCCTTTATGTCCTTCAGACAGCTCTGATGTAATGGAAAACATAAAATAACAACAAACTCTGGAATGCTGTTCGCTTTAAATCCTCTTCTTGCCTTTACGCCCTTGCAAACCATAAACTTAAACAGGAAGCATTATGAATGTAAAGGTGAAAGGATTTAATACACCATGCTGGTTTGGCTGTGTCCACTGTTTTGGACCAGAATCCAGAACGACTCCCACTTAATGTCAAATGTCTTGACTGTTGGTCTCTCAGAGTAAAAATATTATGAAAATACTGACCAGTATTTCAAAAACAAACATGCTTATCAGGTTTTATCATCAGCAAGGAGGGGAGGCCTGAGGAAAGGGCCTTCCACTGTTACGCAATTATCATAAAGACCCTTTTTTGTGGTAAAACAAGGTCTGGCGTTTATTTAACATCTTGTTCATTATAAATTACATGTTGGTATGTGATGGGTGCTCTCATGTCAACAAACTGCAGAGCTGGATGTAGACATCACACTCTGTGATTAGGAGAAGTAAAATGAATGTTCCTTCGAAGGACATACTTGTCATAAACAAACCTGTGGCTTGCACCGACTTGCGTTTAAAGGCCTCGTAATCATCACACCCTCAGATTAATCGTTTTAAATATAGATACCAGCTCTTACATAAAAGCTTCCTCATGCTGCACAAAACTAACACAAACAGAAAAGGAGGAGACAGCAGGTATATCTGGAAATTGCTGAAATTGGAAGGTAAACATACATTAAAGTATAATTTCAGCTGAGTTTAAGATTTGTGGCCTAAATGCTAAAATTGTGGAGATAAACAACTCTGTCTCCTAGAAATTACAATTATATGGTTCTAAACAGTTTGCTAAATATATTTTGAAGGAAATGTAATAGCTCTCTGGATTATATTCACATTTTTTCCCAGTCTTGGCATAATTTATGTTCTTGTACTGCACAAAAGTCAGTTAAAGTAAATTATTGTTTTGATTACACTATCAATTGATCCATGATCCCAGTCCAGACTGTTCATTGCAACATAAGTTATTTGTAAATCCAGTAATTGTGTTCACTAGACCAAAACTAAATCTGTGAAAAATCAAATAAAATAAATAAACAAATAAAATTGCCTAGAAATACAGTACATACCCCAATCTGTCTGAGGAAACAGGAAAAGATTGTGTTTTTGGTTACTTATTGAAAAAAACAACCTGTCCTGACTTGTGCTTCAAGCAAGTGTTGACCGATTTAATATTTAACCAAGACAGCAATATATTCTGTAATCTTAACCAAGTGCTATGAGTTCCCTGAAAGCGGTAGTTTTAGGAAATTTGTCTGTGCATTAACTTGAGCCAGGAGGCAATTAGCTTAGCTTAGCATAAAGACTGGAAGCAGGGGGAAACAGCTAGCCTGGCTCTGTCTAAACTTCCACAGTACGCCTACCAGGTGTCTAAACTAATTAACATGCTGAAGGTTATTATAGTTTCGCATTTTTCATTCTTTTTTTTTTCTTCTCATTTTGGTATTTCTTATTTTAGGACTTTTTGTTTCCAATTTCAGTTTTGTTTTAATTAGTTTTTAAAGAAGGTTTGCTAGTCCGTTTTTTTGAAAATGCTTTATTTTGGTTAGTTTTGCAAACAGACAATACAGTTTCAGTTACTGTTTTTTGTAAAGCTTCATTTTAATTTTTTAAGTTCAGCTAGTTTTCATTATATCATTAGTTTCGATAGTAACCTTGATCCACAGTCACTGCATCCGGCCACTGTTCACCAAAAAAATTACAGGATGTGAACCATAAGACTTAAACCTTTAGGTTTTAGATTTTAGTTTGTGTACAGATTAAACAAATGAGATGCAACATGTACATTAGTGAGATTTGGAGCTGTTGAAAGGCATATTTTTTACTTAACAGAGAGTCAGGCTTCTTGGAAAGAATGGTAAGTAAATAAGAGTAGCCTAATTTCCTAAATGTCGAATAATTCCTTTGAAATAACAATAAAAAAGTAAATTGTCACTTTAGTTTCTACAAACAATTTTTTTGCAGGAAAAACTAATGAAACACATTGTGAATGAGCATTAGGGGTTTGCCACGAGATCTTGCGATATTAAAACATGATGGTATTTCTCGTCAAGGTGAAAAGCTGTCTCACGATATCAGCATGACGGAGTGAGAGGGTGACATTAGCATAAAAGAAGCCTCCGCCCCTTCTAAATCGTTTGTGTGGCAGCATTTTGGGTACCCAGTGGAAACAATGGCACAAAATATCTCGATCAAGAGATTGCATAAAAGCGTCTATTTGTCCTAAACAATGCCAGTCAATAATTATGTTAATTCAATCATCAATTAAAACTGAACTCCAGCTAAAGTTGAGCACTGTGGCCTAAATATTAAAATTGCGGCGAATAAAAGAACACAAAACTATGGCAGCTTTAATTTAATTTCTCCTTCACGAGATTCAAGAGAGTCTTTTTAATAATGAACAAATTCAGTTGAGCTTTAAGTTGGAGAGAATTCAATCTCTCTGAACTATGGATGCCCTAAGGACTTTGGCATACGTGCCAAAGCCACATTCTCACCACTCCTCATGAGGAGTTCCCAACCAATGAAAACTGCTACCGTGCTCAGATGAAGTGACAGCAAGGAGGGATTCAAATCAAGAGCCTTCAAAGAATTTAGGCACAAAAAAAATAAATGAGGGCCCGAGGGACCCAACAGTTTGGTGACTCAAAGAAACATGAAGTTCTTTCTATCACTTAAAAACAATGAGCATTTCCACCACTTTCCTGCACCCTCGCCCTCACTCTCTGGCTCTGCTGGTGTTTTGCTCTTTGCTTGTTATTCAGGTTCGACTGGAACACTCTCACGTTTTCCTCCTCATCACGAATTCTGCAATAAGGAAAAGGACGCAAAGCAGGTTATTATGATTGGCAGACAGGTTATGTTGTGGTTGAGTTTATACCGACTTTGATCTGACTGCTACTGTATTTCTCATTTGGATTGGAGCTGTGAGAAAAATGTTTTGCTATTAGTGAATAGGTTTATACAACAAAACACTCCCTCTAAATGTTGTAATGAGTCACTGAAGTTTCAGTACAAGCTCAGTCCCAGTCCTCAACATTTTAATCTAATGTTGTCCAACTCATCCAAAGTCAAGTCTAAATCTATAGTGATTAGTTCATCTATTAAAATCATCTATCAACCACAAAGCAAGAATGTATACTTTGTGGTGCATCCAACTCAGATATCAGTTGAAATGTATGTTTATCCTAAGTGCTTTGGACCTGAGCAATTTTCCCAGGAAGGTTAGACTTTGATCAAAATCAATAATCACTGCATTATCACCACACCACAGCATCATTATTAATTAATGAAATAGAAAAATACATTTAACGTTACCTTCGTTCGACATCGTTTGATAGATGTCGAATTCCAACGTAAAGCTAACTTCACTGCGGTGCATAGCGCCGTTCCCTCACCAAAATATTACGGTAAAATGTGGAATTTGCGACAACGAAATACATGATAGAGCATAATTGTAAACAACAGACAATAGACGCACAGCCTGACTAGAAAGTAATGGTTTTAGATTAGATTTGCTGTCATTTAGGATGATATATAAGCCTAGTGAGTTCAGGTATCGGCCAATGCCAAATATCTCACAATGCCAGATAACGGCCCGATTAATCGGCCGACCGACCGGGTCTGTGCTGTTTATTTGTTTTATATTAGCAAATGCCAAAGTGCCAAACATGAAGGTAGTCATTTAGCTAAATAGATAATCAGCAGGCTACCACTTGAGTTTTAGATCTCTAAATGACAATATTTAACTTGAAGCTCACAATATCTGGTGGAGCCATCTTCATCAAGGTGATCGCCTGATGAGCAGCTGTTATCAGATACCGTCTCATACCCCTAGTTCACATGTGACTGTATGAGTGTAATTTCTGCAGTGTGTAAGACTCAAAATACCGTGTACAACTATATTTAAGTGCCTCAGTGAGAATAAAATCTCTTTCACAGGTTATGTCCAAAATCTGATTTCTTTAAGCAATATAAATAAAGCAATAAAGCATCTAACAGCAATCACAAATCATCACCTCTTTCATTTAAAGCTGCTCAAATTAATATTTTTACATTAACAATGAGATCATAATATTATGACCTTGACTGACAGAGAAGTTTATCGCCTGACTGTGCACTACCCCACAGCTTAGCATTTTAGTTTCTTTCAGCTTATTGTTTTTGTTTTACACCCGCAACTTTTGGTTCAATCTCACCGCACCAATCAGCACTGTTTTCAGTGAAAACCCACAGCACATTACCTGCTCAGAGCCAAACAGCAGACGGACTCATTAACAACTAGCTGGTGAACACAGTGAAGCATTTAACAGCTGAAGAGCCAAAACCAGAGCTGAGAGGAGAATGAATATTGGACTAATGTTGCTTCGTATCTGCTGGATATGTAAAGATGCACTGTTTAGCCACAGTAACTTTATAAAAAGGTGATAATGCCAGTATTGTTGTGTTTACAGCGTTTTACTCAGCAGGTTTAATATCATGTGGTTGCTGTTATAAGAAAAGCAGAGTCTTTTAAGGGCAGTGCAATGTGAGTGCATAGCGAGTGTGTAGATAATATTATAGTCTGACCTGCTGGAAAGTGAAGGCAGTTAGCGCTAGCAAACATCTCCCTGTGCTTCAGACTCCGGTCTGGAAGCTGAGCAGGACTGGATGGAGCGAAATCTTGTGAATACACACACGGTATTATTTTTTTAAGTGGAAAGTACATGAACACGCACAGTGGGGAAATATTAATAGGATTAAAACAACAAAATGGTAAAATTACGTCAGTTAGAGGGTCTAAATTTTGGTTTCAATTACTTTACAATGAATCGTCCAGCCCTGGTAATAGATATCTATTAACTTAACAATAACTTTCAGTCATGATTGGGAATGAGCCTGTTGAAATGGCATTACATAAATTGTTGATGATTCAATTTAATTTTAGTTGACAATTTAGTAGTGGTTAGGGACCTTCAGTCACATTACATGATCTTCATGAGCAGTTCAGTTGTCATGGAATGGGAGATGATCAAATTTCTCTCGTTTTGAAGATTGTGTGATTTAAAGCTCAGTTAAAACCATGAAACAAACTCAGCACAAGAGTTATATTTAAAAACTAAACACCCACTTACAGCTCACTGAATGCAACAAGTGAAGATCCCGTCATGAGTTCCTACAATCGCTTCTTAATCTGCACTGATCTCTAAACACACATCTGCACCTCTAATGAAATACCTTTGAGAGCTCTGATAGGACAAATCTGTTCCATGCAATGTCTGCTCCTCTCGCTGCGTGCATGCACGCACTGCTCTATTAATAACATTGCGTGCCGGCAGTTTCTCTTTGCAGACTCTCACGCCATGACATCACAGGGTTTAACACAGTGTTACAGAGAGACTCGCGTTAAGTAAGACTGACAGCCGGTGATATTAGGCAGCATTCCTTACATGCTGCCTGTTAGGGAAAGCAGTTAGAAGATCACAACATATTTGAGTGAAGCTTTATGAGCGTGCAGAGCTGAGGGGAAGAGGCTTAAAGAAGACTTTGCTGGTGATGTTAGAGCCAATAAACGGTGTCGCTTAGCTCATTTCAGTTTGGAGTAGAGCACACAGGATAAAAAATATATCACTGTAACACCGAAAACATTCATCAGTTTCATCCGTTTCAACAGGTCAAATGTTAAAATACCCAGACTGGAACCTGGTGTTCAAATCTTTGTGTTCCTCTGACATAATACCATTCAATTTTACAGCCCCTCGGTTCAATGTCTAATTGCTGACAGTGAAGGTATGTAAAGGCGATAATACTTGTAACTAAGATGGATGCGTGCCAGAAATGTCGTCCATCAGAGCCTGTCAGTGTAAAACTGAAGACATGGTTGTAAGAATGGTCCTACACTTTGATGTATGAGTCAAAAACTCAAAAAGTAAAAAGTATGACTCAGAAGCTTTGTTTGACTTTTTGAGCCCTTTACGCACACTTTCCATAAGTCTGCAGACTCTGCCTGAGGAAATTACCCACAGTTCATAGCGTTGTGACGTTAAACACGGGGTTACCCGTGGAAGGCTGTGTTAAAAAAAAGGTAAACAAACAATGAAGAAGCTACTAGAAGAAAAAAATAAGTTAGATGTGCTGTTTTGATAAAAACGAGTGAATTGATTTTTTTTTAATTTACCTCGTGGTAATATTCAAATAATCAATTTAATCGGCAAGAGCTTACAATATGTTAAAATCAGACAGTCAGCGGCTTCAGTGTCTTAGCAGTGAAGAAAGTAAAGAAATGTAAAATAAAAACTCCCAAACTCACAACTGTTTTGGTGTAGTCAAGGTAAAGTAACTTGATATGTTGCAAAGTGCAATGCTGTGTCATTATACCATTTTGGGCCCTTGCAGCCTCACGCGCTTAATTTCATTCTTACGATTAGTTACATGTAAAATTATAAATATACATTTAGCCCTTGACTCAACAGTCACAGTCAATATGATCGGGAATGTCAAAGAGATTTCAGCACCATCTAAGATAAGAGATCACCTCCAATGATTGTCTACCTCCATAACTTCATAAAAGGAGAATTTGATACAGATACTTCATAAGAGGATAAAAAACTCAAGCATTTAGTACCCTAGACACACAAACAAAACGTCATTTTGGACAAAAACAGAACATCCATACATTCCTGGCGCTGCATTCAAACGCCATTTGTGTATGTTTGGGATCGGTTGTGTAGGGGCATTTCAGATAACAACCTGATTCCAAGAATATAAGAGCATGACTACGCCCTCGTCGAGACGCATGTATCCGGTATGCCATCTGATATGTCTAATCCAAAAGGCGTGAAAACTCCTCAGCATGACGAGATATGGGGTGAATCATGAGGAAAAGTGTACAGTCACGAATACCCTCATTGTCGCCTTAACGTTACAGCTTTCTCCACCAAATGTCAAATTCCGTTTGACTCAAAATGTCAGTATGGCGTTGTGGCATAACAATTAACCGGGTTATTTAGGAAAATGATAGGGGAACAAAAAATACAAATGCAGTGTAAAAAGGAAAAGGTGCAATCCCAGTTGTCCAGTTAGTAAACAGATCTAAACAGATTCTGAACATTCCTGTACTAATGCACTGAGAGCCGGTGTAAGCTGCCATATTTACAGGCAGCAGGAGGAGGTGTGGCGTTTAAGACTGCTCGCATACGGGTCAACCCATGCCAGGGGTGAGGCTGTATCACCTTACTGACGCATTATGTCATGGACAGCCACCTCTGTCTGCTATCTGTCCATTTCAAAATGCAGTTCATCCTCATCCCATCAGAGTATGAGGGCTTGTAACATCTCTTCTCTGCTTTCAAAGCTGGCGTTAAGTGACGGGATATCTGCAGGTGGTGTTCACGTGGAGTGATGGTTCAAGAATAAGCAAAAAACATCATCTAAATAAGATGAAAAACATATACAGCAATATAAAACCAGACAAATCCTTTGACCTCCTGAGCATCCCTTTAAACGGGCCAGGTGCCAGTCTGATTTCCTCTAGCTTGTGGACTCCTGCAAAGACGCAGCAGTGCAGGAAGCAGAATTGAATGCATCCCTCTGGGGTTAGTTAATACCCAAGAGAGCCTGCTGGCTTTCCTTCTTTCTCTCTCTGACAAAGCAGGATGAAAGTTTGGCCTGTCGTGCTGGAAGCTGACAAATGAACGCCATACTGGCAGCAAAAATGTGGTTATGAAACAAGCCAAATTTAATGATTACGGCTGTTTAGGTCAAAATGGCTCAGTGTTATTGCAGGCATCCAATAGTCAATCAAATTTGTCAGGGATACTTTTGCATCTTTTGTCTACTGAGTTCAGTGTTTTCAGCTAATGCCTACTTCACACTACACGATTTTTAGCCCGATTTGCCGGTCGGAGAGCTCGGGCTGTGATCGGGGTAAATCAGCGAACGATCAGCCGTTGGCAGTCGTTATGTGTGAAGTACTCAACGACACATCAAAACGACTCCCAGACACATTGCCAAAACCGGCTAGATATCTAGCATGCCAAATATCTGGAAGAGTTGGCCGACTCGACATCCACATCCAGCCAATGAGAGCAGGCAGCTACTTTTCACCACAAAACACATTTTACTCCCCTCCAGCTGTCTCTGTAGCTCAGACAATCCCTGCTACCTGCGTGTGGTAATCCATTCTTTCACCCACATTTTTTGTCTTTATAATTGGTATCTTTATAACAAACAACAGCTGTTTCGTGTGCAGGATCGCTCATTTCCCATTTCATGTGTGTCTTCTTGACAAAACATGGTTTGGAGACCAGCATCTTGTGACAGAGTCCTTGTCAGCTCGCGTAGTGTGTGACCCCTGTCATCGATCAGTCACGTAGTGTGAACGCCACAACGAATTCAAGACACCCGTCACAAGACGGCAAGTTGTATATTGTGAACAGCACGGCCATCTGCCGACACTGAAAGTTGCGTAGTCTACACGAGCTTTAAGCATCACAACAAAGACTGCACACTTCTGCTTGCATCGTTCATAGCAATTTACAAAAGGAAATACAATGCGAGATAAACTTAATGGCAGAATGACTGGATAATTAATTATGGCATTAACATAACATAATATGGAAATGTTGTTAAATAACAAGTCACAAATGCTTTTTAAAACTGAGGGTATCAGTAAAATGTTCACTGACAACGGATTTTATTTGTTATCCATCAAAATATCTGATCTTGCAATACAATATCCGCTTGTGAGGTCTACAATTATTACAACTACAATCATCATTAGACTCTTTTATTGTTATGTGAAGGCACTGAGAGAACTTGGTTAAGATTAGGGAAAGATCATGGTCTTTTTTCAAAACAAATTATGTTCAGTATAAGAACATTTGAACAGTATCACACACACTTGACAGTTTTATTCTCTTAAAGCCCCCACAGATAAAGATACATTAAAATATTTCAGATATCTATGGCTGAATTTGGGTGAAACACATACAATAAAACTTCAATTAATAGCTATCCAACAAAGGCTAAAATCAAGGGCAACTGGACTTGGTTGAAGATACTGGAACACTCAACTCTACGTCCACGTACCAGTATCTTCAACCAAGTCCAGTTGCCCTTGATTTTAACCTTCGTTGGATAACTATGACCTGGATGACTGAGAATCTTCATAGACATCTTCAATTAATAGCCAAGTCCCAAATAGCCGCCTACCTCCTTTACTGGCCTGGTATGGGAACACATTTTGACAAATAAACGCATGTCTCCATTAGACGCCTGGTCTGTTCTTTGGATGTATCAAACCTCCTAAACCCCACCAGGTCGCTCACTTTAGCTGCTTCTAAGCTGCTTAGATCGTTAATACAAATATTAATGTTTAAACTTATGATCAATACGGACACGCTACACATCGTTTAGATTCTCCACAATTCAATCATTCAGTTCATTTAACGGAAACAACAAGTCCCAATGTCTAATACTTATAGATTTACCAGTGTAACCGGCATGGTACAAGAGATGAAAAGAAAAAGAAAAGTGCTGACTCCCACTTACCTTTGAAGTGCTCATTATGTCCGTTCCTTGATTATTAAATTCCTTTAATCTCCAAGCGTACACAAATCAAAAGAATCACAACAGCTTTTCATAAAAATTAATCCAAGTTGTGAATACTATCATGTGAAGTCCATTGCTCTCAGTCTGCTATATTCTGCAACACTTTTCTCATCCTGCACCGTGTTACATTGCTGCCTTCAAAGTAAAAGCGCATAAGCCGTCTGTCGGAGCTAGATAAAATTAATAATGTGTAATTGATATCATTGGATAACTTTTTATACAAGTAATATTCTGTTCCATAGTAGCTTATTTCAGTTTTGTGCAAGAAGAATTAAAGGTCTGTCCCATATGGACGCCTGTCCCATTCAGTGATTTTAGCAAATAAAAGCCCAGGCTATTAGTTTTACGGTATATATGAAATGATGCATAAGGACATCTAGAATATTTCAATTCGATATATTGGTGCAGCCATAAAATAATGGAGCCTTGAGTTTGAATATTTCACTCAGTCTAACATTATACTGATTAAATGAAGAGCTGGAACAAGCTCACACATGATTTGTGTGTCATACTGTCAGACAATGTGGAATAAGGTGATTTTAACAACAGTTAAAGGTTCAGTGTCTAAGTTTTAGTGGCATCTAGTGGTGAGGGTTGCGAATTGCAACCACGGTGCATTCACATGCTCCTCAAGACGGTCCCATTTCCCAAGTTGTGAATTCTTTCGAATTCATATAGCATAATGAAGCATATAAACACACACAGACATCTAAGTTCACTCTACATGGACAGCAAACTAACCTTTATAACCATGTTACAAATTACATGTTCTGATTATTGAGACAGCACATGGATGAACCATCAGTGCCCGCTCACCCCTACCTATCCAAGCGTACAGTGGCCGATACTCTGTCGGCACTTTGGCTAAATCATACGTGTGGGCCTCCATTTGTCCGAAATTGCCTTTTTTTTTTTTTTTTTTTACTTCAAATAAACCAGACGACTACTACTACTAATGTTACTTATTCTTTTCCTTTTCTTCGTATTCAACGAAGTGAGGAAACATGCTAGAAATGGCTTATTCTAAGGTAATAAATGTCACGATCCTGTCCTGAGCTTGTCTGGGTTATATTATTTTGGCCATGCCCTCTCTGTGTTTTGGTTTTTCTGTGTCTGGGTTTCAGTCCTGTCTGTGGTCTTGTATCCAGTCTTCTGCTTGTTCTGTGTGGTGGTTATGATCAGTCCTGTTATCTCGGTGTCTGCCTTAGTACTTGCTTAGTTCTGTTCCCGTCTCTCTTGTGTTAGTTCTCTACCATTGTGCTTGGGTTCTGTCTGTTTGTAGGTGTCAATTTATGTTCTCTGTTGGTTTCATTATTAATCTATCTGATCATTCTGCTTTAGTCTCTGTGTAGCCTTGTTTATTATTTTATTCACCCGCATCTTTAGTTACTTGTCTCGTATCTTATTTCCTAGTCCTGTACCTTAGTTCATGTCTCATGTTTACTCCTGGTCTGTGTACTTCTGTGCTGTGTTGCCCATGTCTGCTCTGAGTTCTGTTTTATCTTAGCTTCAGTCTGTGTTCCTTGTTATTAGTGTATTCACAATCTGTCTGCTTGTGGCTGGATTAGTTTGTTATTTTTATTATTCTGATCTGTTACTACTTACTTTGATATGGTCCATGTTTATTGTTCAGCATCTTGTGTTATGTCTGTTCCCCTCAGTAATCTGCCTGCCTGCCAGTCTCTCTGTTTTCCCCTGCTGTCTCTCTGCCTGCCTGTCTCGTTAGTCCTGATACCTGTCACCTGTGTTGCCCCCGCCCTGCTCGTTAGCCCCTGTGTATAAATGTTTGGTGTTTCTGTTAATTCCCTGTCCGGTCATTGTAGCTTTTTATGGCTCTGTCTCGTGCCCAGCCACTTCCATGGTTATATTGGAGTAGGCCTTTGAGTTCTTTTGGATTACCGGTTTTGACTGGATTGTTATTTCTTTTGTTAATACTTGGACTCAGCCACTCAGTTTGTAAGCGTGCTCGCTTTGTGTTGCCACAGTAAACCTTTTGAACTGTTCCTGCTCTGCTCTGTGTCCTGCATTTGGGTCCACATACTTGCTCACCATACCGCACCCTGACAATAAAATCATAACGGTTCATTATATAAGTCTTTTTACACCACTGAAAACATATATATGTATATTATATTGCATTTCTGTCAATAGATCCTCCTAAATATTACACAGTGGACCTTAAAGTATTGTAAAAGGGAATCAAACTAAGAAAATTGATGTTAAAAAACAACCAGATTATTGATTATTATTATTGCTCCAACTCAGCTCCACATTCACAAAAACTGAAATTCTCATGCAACTATGCACCATACTTAAACTGCAGATGGAGGTTTTGACACAGCCAGTTGAAAAATAATTGCCAAAATCTCGCCTGATCTCTTTCCTCTTCACTGCCTGATCATCTAAGCATTACCTGCAAGCTTGTGCCTATTAAGCATGAGTACAGTGTTTTCCAGTGGCCATGGCAACGGGAAGGACTGATTGAGCTGCATGAGCAGGAAGTGCTGCGAGGACAACAGGACGTGCCCTGGCTCCGCCGTCGAGGGTTGAAGAATTCAAGGAAGTTATTGTACTTTGTGGAATGGGCTCAGGAATGCAAGATGTCTGCCGTTTGTTCTAACTCGTATCACTTGTAGGAGGCGACAGGCTTTGAAGACAATGTGAACCTGTGCGATACATGTGTGACACCGTGCTGGCACACGGATGTTTGCGGTCACCCACCTCCACATTCTCCTGTGACAGCCTGAAGGGTTCACAGACGGGAATAAAACCTCCCTCAGCAGTTATTCAGGCGACGGAGACAGATGTTTGGTCCCGAAAGCAAGGTAGATGGGAAACCTGAAGAAAAAAAAAAAAAACATGACAAATGTGAACCTTGCGACCTCACTGGAAGGTGGTTATCAGCAAAAAACAAGTGATATATTTAGTGAGCCATCAAAATCTGATGGATGCAGAATTCCAGATAAATAAGCAACCATGACAATTGAACCCAATGTGCTACTGAAGTTTCCCTTTAAGCAGCTTGAGCTTTGGCTTAAACATTGTTTCCAAATTGGAAGACATTGTTCTATATACTGTTTGTTCAATTAGCTCAAAAGAAACATTATACCTGCAATGTTTCCCCAAAAATTATCCAGGAAAAAAGGTGGCAACCCCAGCGATTAGAAGGCAAAAGAATCCCTTCTTGTGTTGAACTAAACCTATTGCAAACTTAAACTAAGTAAAATATTCCATCCAAGATACCGTTTCTGTGACAAAATGTACACCGATTGTGCATTATTTCTTAGATTTTTTCCTGTAATTCAGCACAAAATATTAGCAAATATTTATAATATTGTCAAAAACGTCCCAAGAACTCAAATGTGAAGACTGTCATCTGTGTTTATCTATTGTGCATCGCTATAAACTGAATATCTTTGGATTTTATAGAAACAATGAATTGTGTAATTAAACAGATAAATCATCATGACATTTTTATAGCAAGCTAGTTTAACCGAATAGATTTGGACTGTTGTGTGGACTAAAAACGTGATATGAGTTAGTTTGGGCTCTGGGAACTTGTGATTTCTGACATTTTATAGAATATACCAAGACTGCTACTAATGATTATCTTCCCAATTGATCGCCTGGTCTGTAAAACATCTGTTAAAAATATGTATCCCAGTTTCGCAAACTCCAAGGAGATGTCTTCAAATGTCTTGTTTTACCTGACCAACAGACCAAAACCCAAAGTTCAATTCACAAAAATATTATGCAAATCCTCACATTTGAGGGGCTGAAAATCTTTGCTTGAAATAAATGACCCGTCCAATGAATCCAAAATCCACATATGTGTTTCTGTTTCATCAGCGCAAAAAACTTAAGAGTGTTACCTATTACGTTGTTTAAACTATGTGGTTTTATTATGTTGTTGTTTTATTACTGAAAAAAATAAAAATCTTTAAAACATTGCAAGCTTTTATTTTTCTATCCAGCTTTTAATGATTTATACACAACATCTTTCGTACTGATAACATAGCAGGATAAATTAGTCATTAAATTGCTCAATGCACACATCACTTGCTCCAGGAAACCTATAACAAAGCTGAGCTCTTAATTGCGACTCTCCTCTCCAGCCTGTGGCAACTATTCACACTTTTCCTGCAGACAGATTATGCATCCGGAAGCCTGACACTCTTAACTAGCGCTGTGTTTGCGTTTGATCCTGCTTTACCTACACCAACCCCCAAATGTCCCTGCCTCCCAGTCAGCCCTGCCCGTGTTCTGGATGTTTCCGTTGTGACAGCCCTTCTCCCTGACGCGTGGATGGAGCTGTCGTCCAATAGGTCAGAGGGCAGCGGGGTCATGGGTTAACACCACAGGCTGCTCTGCAACAACAAACAAGTTGTCCCAAAATCCCCAAAGAGGGGCTGAAGGGATTCACTTTCTGGTCCTATAAATCCCATCACACAGTGAATGTTTCTACACCAAAGTCGCCTCCATGAATGTCTCTTTTGACGCAGCTTGTAGTGGTTTCAATGTTTCAGGAGATAAAGCTGTTGTTACAACTTGCAGCTCTGTTGCATCTATTCTAGCGATGGAGTGAAACATGCAGGGCTAATGGGGGTTGAGGGTTAGTGGGCTGATCCGCTGTCGGATCAAATGTTTGCTCGGTGATGAAAGCTACGTTCTGCCTGTGGGATCAGGGTGTCTGTTTGTGTGCCTAAAGGTGTAGTGAACCCCCCCACCCGATGATGTATTCTTCAATGGAGAGGTTAACAGGTTTGACCCTGCACCCCAAAGGCATAATGGTCAAAAACACACAAGTTGGCCAACATATCATACAAGACACCAAGAGGACGGACGTGTAGAAAAGGTAGCCATGATATGAATAAACAACGGATGTTGGATAAAAATGGATGTCAGATAAAAACGTTAAGCACACAGGGGGTTTTTTGTATGTCAAAGACCTCCTAATAGCTCCATGTTGGCCCACAGACCCCCATTTGTACACACTGTATACAATGTTCTTTTAGTCACACTTAGTCATTATTTTGTCAATTAATCTTGTCTATAAAGTCTATAAAATGTCAGACAGTGAAAAATGTTAATCACAGTTTCCCAAAGCTCAAGGGAACATATTAAGATCATCTATTTTACCTGACCAACAGCCCAAAACCCAACAATACTCAATTTACAATTACTTGAAATACAAGAAAAAACAGAAACCTCTCACATTTGAGACACTGAAATTAACTAATTTTGAGCATTTTTGCCAGACTTAGTGGACATATATATAAATATTATAGATATAAGTTGATTTGCTTTCTTGCTGATGGGAAGATCAATGCCATGTCTGCGCTGTGATAATGCTACAGCCAGCAGCCTGTTAGCTTAGCAAAAAACCTGGAAGCAGGGGGAAAGAGCTAGCCTGGCTCTGTCCAAAAGGTACATAGATCAGCCTACCAGCACTTCTAAAGCGCAGTAATTTACATGGTATTATCTTTATCTTATTTCTTTCATTTGTACAAAAATCTAAATGTAAAAACAACACTGTTCTTAATTCATTAGGCTAACCAACTAATTGTTTGCTCTAGAAAGAATCACTGTGTAATAATCTAAGAAAACAGTTCACAGATGGAAAGATTATAATGCAAACATATGAATCAAAACACCAATAGGGATAAATTATTTTTGATAATGACTAGAATAAACAATCTGTCATTTTTTGGGGGGTCCTCCTGTCTTTCTTCAAAGGGCTCCTGAGGGTCCCTGGACCAACGTTTATTTTCACTGCATTAGCATACCAGACATACTAGTCAATCATTTTCCAGGATTAGTGGGACTGTATGTACTACATCTGCACTACTCTTGTTCATTTCTGATTCCAGCTGTAATATGTACAAGCGGCTCATCTGTGTTGATGTAAGCAGCTGGTAATAATGTTTTTATATAGAGTCTATGGTAATAATAGGCCTACACTTAATTTACTGAATTTGACTTCTGTTGCCATGCCCAGTGCTATCATAAAAATCATTTAGCACATTGCCACTGCAAGTTAGGTCCAAACTAAACTGGCACACAAGGATTTAACATCAATCAATGTACAGAGAAGCAAATCCATGCAGCCAGGAGAATACAACACAATCATATGTATCTAGTGCCCTCTACTGGAAAGTACTGTCAAAGACACTGGGTGCAACTTAAAAAGTGGGCAAGCAGCAAATTCCTGTGCAACATTTCAGCTTTATCAAGCCTTTCTGAATCTGAGCTACCACCATCTACTGGATTTCCCAGATATAACGCCAGGTTTACATTTTATTTAGTCAGTTAACTGTTCAATGATGAAGGCCCTTCTATGGTGGAGAAAATTTTATTATACTAAAACAATAGGCTAGTCCAATGTAAATAGAAATAGTAGGCCTACCTATAATGTACAATAGTAGAATATGAACTATCAAAAGGTTGATGAAACCCCTAAATTCCAAAACAAAAGGACATTACCTTGGTGTTTGGCTGCTACTAACCATTACTTTCATAACTGATTAATCTACAGATTGTTATCTAAATTAATCAGGTACTTGTCAGGAAACAGAGAGAAATGCACAATGTCCTAGATCCCAAGGTGAAATCTTTAAATGTCTTGTTTGGTTTTTAATTTTTGGACTGTTGGTCTGACAAAATCATAGACTGTATATTTTTTTAAAAAACAAGACATTGTTTATTCATACTACGATGTTAAAACACAAGGGAGCAACAAATTCTCACATTTGAGAAGCTGGAAACATCAAATGTTCCAGCCTACTCATAATAGACTTCATTCAGTGCAAGTACAGGTAAGTTAAATATAGCAAAATGGCTGCATGGCAGAGTGAAAGTAAGTGATATAATAATGATAATAATAATAATAATAATAATAATAATAAAAATCTTTATTTGTAGAGCACTTTTCAAAAACAAGTTACAAAGTGCCTTAACAAGTGTAAAGACAATAAATGTATAAGTCTAATGTCTAATGAGTGATAACTATGAAATGACTGCAGTAAAAGGTACATATAACTACATAACGTTACATTTACGTTAAGCACATTTGAAAGGACAAAACAACCGCCCTCAAAATCGATTGTGATCAGCAGGGACTTTAAATTTGCTTCTAAAGAGTCGTACGTGATATTAAGTAAAAGATAAACTTGATTAATTGAGGAGACAGCACAAAAATAGCATCTGGCCAGTGTAAACGAACTGAGTTAGCAACAGTCAGCTAGCAAGTTACCGTTAACGTTACATATTACCTGTTTGGCTCACTTTTCCTTCTGCTGCGAACAAGCAGGGCACTTCTTCAAGCTCTTCGTTGTGTTTTGGGCTGCACTGAGTAATTACTTCCCCCCACTAACGTTACGGTTATTGTTTATCAGTCCGTCACGTTGGTTTGTTTGTTTGTTCGTTTGTTATTTAGCGCGTAATAGTAAAGGCACGTCACAGGCCACGCCCATTCCCACCTAGCTAAACAAACCGGCAGCCATTTTAAATTTTTAATAAACCTTTTTTTTCTTCGCCGATGTCCTACAAGTCTCATCCAAATGTCCCCACATTTTTCTTTACACGGTCCATGAAAAAAAAACAGACACAAGCATGTTCACCATTTTTTAGGCGTGACCTAACTGGCCATAACCCTTGACCTCATTGGCCAGTTAGGTGCAGACTCTGATGGGGCCTGTAGGTGGCGCTACAGCAAACATTCAACAGAGAATCTGTGCTCATGAATCTGACTTATTTATGATCTTGACAGGATGTTGGAAAATAAGTAGGACTAAGTACATTTACTGTAGCCTACTAAAGCACAGTTTTGAGTACTTCATACTTTTTACTTCACTACAATTCAGAGGAAAATATTGTAGCCTACTTTAACTTCACTACATAGGCTATATTTGATAACATTAATTACTAAGTAACTCTTTCAGATTAATAATACAAAATAAAATCAACGAAAAAGTCACGACTTAGGCTATTATTACGAGTTAAGAAAATATTTTTATTGATCCCTAATGGAATCCACAAGCTACAGAGCAGTTACAGTAAGGCCTATTGTAGAAGCTACTGCTGGATAGCTGCTGGATAGCTATACTGAGTAGGCTATACAGAAAAAAAATTTATAATACAATTATAATATACATTATTCTGAAAATGTCCAGTCTGCATAATGAGTATGTTTACTTTTTGTACTTGAAGTATATTGTGATGTTACATTGTAAAAGCACATTTTTGAATGCAGGTCTTGTAGACCTAATTGAGTATTTCTACACTGTGATATTGCTACTTTTACTTAAGTAAAAGATCTGAGTACTTCTTCACAACACTGGATTTCCGTCTTCTCCAACAATCCTGGCAGCCTTCATCATGCATCAAAATAACACACAGTGATAGATGGTGATGCTGATTAACCCTCAGCAGGATGGGAAAAAGGCATCCACGATGATTTTATCACTAACGTTACTGACTAACATATTATTTTTCATTTTACCCTTTTATAATTAAACAAATTAAATTTGTTTAAATATATATTCTTATTGATTCTGTTCCAGTTAGCAGCTGGATCTACACTGGTGGAAAATAATTCCTGTATTGTACTACACTTCAGAGGCAAATATTGTACTTATTACTCCAGGAACAACGTTGGTTTGACTTCTGTAACTAGCCTACTGGTTAATTTAAATAGCAAGATTTTACATACTTTTATAATGAGCCCCTAAAATATGATAAATTGTTGTTGATTAAACTAATTATAAAGATGTTAAAATAAGCTTCACTTCAGCCAGCTACTATATCAAAATGCCTGTCACATGCTCGTTAATGCATTAGCGATACAAATTCAGTAATAAATGTTATATAATGTTTTAATATCCTGACAGAAGCCAATCTGTTAGATAATGAGTTTTACATTTTACATTTCACTCATTATGTCTGCACTTTTACATTGAGTAGCATATCCTTTACTTAAGTACAATATGTCAGTACTTCACCTCTGAACATATTTACTTCTAATTTCACAAACACCTCATCAGTCATCTTAGTCTAAGAAGAGCAAATAAATCTGCAATGTGTATTTTTACTCTTGAGCAGCACAAATAAAACTCTCATTACCAAACCCTTGATCTAAAGCTCAGTGTGGACAACATGGACTCAAGTACTCCACTAGAGAGCAGTATTACCTCGTGTATTCAGAACAATGTTAGGCCATATAGGTGGACTGCAAGCCCTTTCATTCATTCATTCAAACAGACACAGCCAGCCTTGTGTCCAGAATATCATTCAGAAATGTGTGCAGAAAAATTTAATTTGCACTCAGTTTTGTAAGTGTGTACATTTAAGTTTATACCAGTAAACCCTGTGTTGAAAGATTGTCCATCAAGTTTAATTGCGATGTCTGTACAAACTAAGCTAATTTTCAAGTCATCATTCCTGCATCTGGACTAACAGACACAACTTTGACAGCAGCGCAGAGTACGGCTGATAAATGAAAGAGATACGATCATTTTTATGGGACTGTTTTCATAAGAAATTACTAATGCAAGTAGTCAGTGTTTCAACCTTTTTTTTTAACAGTCCATGTGGCCACATGAAGGATTTGAAATAATAATAATAATAATATTTATTTGTAGAGCACTTTTCAAAAACAAGTTACAAAGTGCTTTAACAAGTGTAAAGATAAAACCCAAAAGACAATAATACAAAAACAATACAAGATAAAAGCAAGAAAACATTGAAAAGACTAAAATACACGTTTAAGATAAATATAAAATAAGTAAAATAGAATAATATAAACAGGGATAAAATAAAGTCAAATAAGATCGGGAAAGGCTCTCCTATAAAAGTATGTTTTAAGAAGGGACTTAAAAGAGTTCACTGACTCAGCCTCAGGGCCCTGACAGCAAACGCTCTGTCCCCTTTAGTTTTCAGTCGAGACTCTGGAACAGACAACAGACCTCTGCTCGAGGATCTCAAGGTACGTGCTGGTGCGTATGGGACTAAAAGGTCAGAAATATAACAAGGCGAGAGGCCATGAAGAGCTTTAAAAGTGATCGTAGCATCGTGGGACACTGAAACTCTTAACCAGTGGTGGAGGAAGTACTCAGATCCGGCATATTTTGAAAATACTACAAGTAGAAGTCCTTTTAAAACATGTTACTGTAATAAAAATAAATAAAAGTATTATTAGCAAAATGCACTTTAAAATGAACAGAATTCAATGCAGAAAATGCCGCATGTGAGTGTTATACTATTATATTACATTACTGTTGTTATTTTAATCATGTTGCAGGTCAAAGTGGAACTAATTTAACAATTTTATACACAGTTCAATCTGTACACATGAAACCAATTATATATAAGTCTTTTTATCTAATTTATTATTTATTTTATTTAGTTTGTAAACGAACTCCAGCTGTCAGATAAATGTAGTGTACAAAGTTTTATATTTCCCTCTCAAATGCTGTGGAGTAGAAGTATAAAAGTGAAATACTCAAGTAAAGTTCAAGCAGTGGTGGACTGTAACCAAGTTTTACTAAGTCAAGTACTGAGTACCATTTTGAGGCATTGTACTTTTACAAGATTATTTTCATATGTTATTTTATACTTCTATTCCACTCTACATTTTACATGAAATATTTCACTTTGTATCTGACAGCTATTGTTAGCTAGTTACTTTTCCAATTAAGATTTTACAAACAAAACATGTGATCAGTATATACAATATAATGCTGTTTTATAGATCTAACTACCCAAAAGTAGTACATAAAGCATTTAAAATTAGCTCCACCTCAACCATTAAACAGTAAAGTACTATTTTTATGTTAATCCATCAATGATAATCAATAATAAAACGATATAACACAGACCATACTGACAAGCAAATACTTTTGATACTTTGGGTACGTTTTACTAATTATACTTTTACTTAAGTGAAATTTTAAATGAAGGACTTTTACTTGTAATTGAGTGTTTCTATAGTGTGGTATTATTAATTTTACTTAAATAATTTTACTTAAATAAACAGTTTGAATACTTCTTTCGCCATGAGTAAGTAAGTACCTTACATCTGTAACTAAACACAGTGGAGTAAATGTCCTTACAGACACTTTCAGAGTTGGATGTTAAAAGAAAGACAGTTAAGGCACAAACACTCAGACTGTTTGTTTCATTAGGGGGCTGCATCCTGGCAGCAGTGGACAATGAAACAGGTCATTATTTGACATTTAATAAAAGCCCGAAACATCATGTAATCCCACTGTGTGTTTTCTTTCCCCTTTGTGAAGTCTGCTGGTCCATGCAGGTCTTTAAGGGGGAGATTACAGAGTCTGGGTGAGTCAGACCGACACCGACAGATGTGTCATCAGGTGAACCCGTCTGACTCCAGCAGCAACCACAGCTGAGCTTATTGTCCCTCCCTGCCCGTCTGTGCCCTCGTTCTGCAGCCCCTGTTATTGTCTCTTCCCACTCATGTTCTCCTTTTCCTCGTCATCTCTCTCATCCCTGCGTCTCCCTCTATTCCCCTTCTGTGTCCTCCTTTTACGCCTTTATTTATGTCTCTGTCTCTGCCCTGGTTTTCTCTCATTTCTGATGTCTCCATCCCGTTTCTTGCTCTCATTTTGGTGCTTTTTTTCTTTCTTTCTTATTGATGCTGTTCATCAGTTTTTGTTTTGATGTGGCCGCCTTTGTTTCTTTCCTTTAAAGAGCTGTGAATGGGATCCTTTCCAACCTGAAGTGCCCCTGTTGTTGCTGCCGCGCATAAACTGACTGAACCCAAATCGGCTTAAAGTCAAAAAAGATGATAGTTGGGGCTGCGGCACTTCAGGTTATAAAGAATTCACTTTAAGGCAAACAAGACAAGTTAAGTTGCATCACAACAGCTACTGTACATTCAGATATGTGTCTAAATATATAATAGAGTTAAATGAAAGGAAGGAAGCAGAAGCCCCTGCTGCTGCAACAGAAAACTCATTTTAGATTTCATTTCAGTGCATTCATGCTGCTCTGTTTTCAAGAAATAAAATAAGATCAGTGGGTGTGTGACAGAGAGGCAAGACAGATCCGTTGTGCGTTTGGATCTGGATGAAAGTGTCTGTGATGAGAGCACAGCAAGAAAAGCTGCTGTGCCTCATTTGTAACAGACACAATTTGTTTTATCGACTGCACCAGTCTTCCTCCTGCTGCAAAATGTGGGACATGACAGTACAAATCGCAATTACATAATGCAACTAGGTCAAACAACAATGAATGATCCCAAGATTTCAGATCCAAAATTAGGATTTTAAAAGACGTACAAACCAGGAAATCTTTAAAGAAAAACTACAATTGAATTTTCTTTTTGAAAGCAATAACACAGACATTTAAGATTCTTAATGTCAGTTAAGTGTTAAAAAATACTTGGACACAAATTCATGCCATTCATCCACATTTAATCTCAGGATTTAAAAGAATAAAATGTCAAAATGGGGATTACAATGCTCGTGTTTCCCGCCTCATGTTTGTTGCTGTAAAGTGGTGATGTGCATGGGTGCTGCTTGCAGAGGAGGGGGGCATCAGTGGACAACAAGAGCTCTCTTC